ATTTAAATCTCAAATTTTTTGATATCAAAAAATCAATCAATTTAAACTTTCGTGACCAAAACTTCTATTGACCAGCTTTGAGCTGGCCTCATAGTAATATATTATTATTTTTCATCCTGTATTATACACACTTCGCATTCCTAATTTCCATAATAGATCAAACCGTACGTGAAGCCCGTCTTCGCTTCAGACATTGGATTATTCAATATGATCTAGGTGCTCATGCACTATCTGACTCGTTTGGTTCGAGCTCCAGGTATTATGGAGAAATCGTGCGTATACTTCGTAATGGAGGATTTAATCACGCCCAAGATAGTATATACTGCCACATGCGTGGCTGTACGCTTCAACACGCAATACAAACAGTGGGCCAAATCTGAGCACTACCGTGGGTAGGCGGTATCTACCCAAATGGGCGTTCCCATATAAATAATATCTGAATTTCAATTCAGAATAGTCATTACATGGATTTAATAAATTATGCACGTGGAGGGCGTCTACCTCGTATTCCACTCTTTTGATAAAATGGATCAATAGGCACTAATATTATTTTATTATTCGTTATCTTTAACCGTAATGCAATGCTATTTTACTTATAAAAGCTAATCAACATCTATAGATTCGCTTGTGGCTCAAGTTAGTCTGAACAACATCATCTCCATCATTAAATACCTTTAACGTCACCACTATCAATGTGATAATTCATTATGATGACAACACCACTTCTTATATTTGTTCAATGCTAAAGAATATGTTAAGATTTTATCATCTGAAAGTAGTACATTTTAGTTTTGTATGTATCAAAATGTGTAACTGCAGATAGAAAGACCGATTTTATATCAATAAAAATAATACAGTTTGCGAAATACATATTTGATATTTGCTTTATTGCGTCAAGTTTTAACGTATGTTGTGGCGCAGAAATTTTTCAAAAACTTACAGAAATAATTTTATTTCTTTATAAAAGCCTTTTAAATTAACATGAGCTATGATAATGCACTTAAGACACCCACTTTTTACTTAGCATATTGATATCTGTTACTTGTATCCCTTGTCTTTCCAATAGATGTGTAAAAAATATAATTTAT